GGGGCGGGGCCAAAGGTGTGAGTCAGGTGCTGGCGATTCAAATATGGCGCCTGCCTGCCGGCTGTGTGCGGGGAGGGCTCGCCAAAGGAGCCATGGCCTCTACCAGCTCCTCTGCCTGGGAGGAAGCTGCCCCTCCACCTCTCGCCCCAATTTCAGGCAGGTTAGTTCCCCCCGAGTGTCCCGGGTCCTTTCAGGCTGCTGCCCGGCGCTGGGCTCAGAGGGAGCGTCCGAGTGAGTCCGTGTGCGGGCCCTTTAGAGGAGCTGCTGGGACTCCCGCAGCCTCCGTGACCCTCAGCCACAGTCCCCGCTGGTTTCACAGCCTGGAGTTGTGGGGACTTCTTTTCCCAGTCCTGGAGCCCTGGGCTGGGGGCCTGCTGTGGGGCTGGGCCCCCTCACTCCTCTGGGAAACCTCCGCCACCGAGATTCCCTCCCGGTTTAACCTGCGGAACTGGGTGTGGGCCTGTGGCCTGGTCTCCAGGATTCAGCCCTGATCTGCCCGCGTCTCCGCCCCTCCTAATGGTCTCATTGCTTCTTCAGTTCCCTGGTTGTGGGGCTTCTGTTCAGCCAGATTTCAGGAGGTTCTGAGTGATGGTGGTTCTGTACTTTAGTTGTAATTTTGATGTGGTTGCCGGAGGCGGCGGGTACAGCGCTTACCTACTCCGCCACCTTGTTTACTCATCCAAATGCTCAATCTTTACAACAGCTACTGTTATCCCATTTTACAGTTAAGGAAACCAAGGCACAAAGGGACAAAGTCATTGCCTATGCTGCTCTGCTGGACGTGGACACTTGTTCTTCTTGCTCCAGTGTTCCTGCACCCACCTGGGGTGCTGATCACCCCTTACTCATCACACTCTATTGAACTCATGCCATTGTCAGACTGTGGTCCTGTGGCCACTGCCTGAGCCAGGAAAGCTGGTGTGCATGCTTCTCTCTCCTCCAGCTCATTAGGGATAAGGCAAGGTGCTTTCCAGCTTTGTGTTTGTGCCTGGTACAGACCAGGTGCTCCATAAATGTTAGTCAAACAAGTGAGTCAGAGTCTGGGAGTGGAGTTTGTGCTTAACTGAAAAAAAAAAAAGAAATCAGGATTTTGGAGAGATATCTGCATTCCCATTACTCACTGCAGTTTATTCACAATAGCCAACACATGGGAGCAGCCATTAAAGAATAAAATCCTGCCATTTGCACCAACATGGGTGGACCTAGAGGGTGTTGTGCAAAGTGAAATAAGTTAGTAAGAGACACATACCATATAACCTCACTTATATGTGAGATCTAAAATAGTCAAACTCATAGGTACAATTTCTGTTATACAAGACAACTAAGTCCTAGAGGTCTACTGCACAGGATAGTTCTGAATCTAATAATACTGTATTGTGTACTTACTATTTGTTAAAAGGGTAGAACTTATGTTCAGTACCCTACACACACACATATCATCGTCGTCATGTAGGGGGAAATTTTGGGAGCTGATAGATGTGTTTTTGGCATTGATGGTGATGGTTTCATGGTGTATAGTTACCTCAATAAAGTGGTTAAAAAATAACAGGCAAGGGAGAAAACCTGTACTGTCAGTCGCTGCCTCGCACTATGTCTTAGAGAGCACTGGATCTATGGGTCTCATTCTCAATCTCCTACTCACCAGCTTCCCCAGCTTCAGTGGGGATCCCAGCCCACTCCTCTCTGTCCTCGCCACACTGACATCGCTGCTAAGAACCCCCTTCCCTTTGGCTCCCACACCACCCAAGGGGCTACCTAGAGAGGCCAGACCCTGTGATATGAGTAACCGTTAGTCTCTGCCTTTGCCTGTGATGCAATCTTGGCCACTCCACACTGAGACCACATCCTTCCTGCTCCTGCTGGGCTGCTACTATAAATTCATCAGGTTTCCTCTTGGGCTGTTTCTGAGGCCGGCGTCTGGGTGAGTCCAGCTTCTGGGTGAGTCTAGCTTTGTGGAGCAGGGTGGCCAAATGGGCTTGGGGAGGGATGGGGAGAGTATTTTTAGGGACAAAACTTGACTAGGGATTTCTTCTGCCAGCCTCCTATGTGTCCTTCAACAGTGTTTCTGGAATGTTCTTTTAGATTTATCATTATGTGGGCTCTTTGTGCATATGTATGTGGGGGGGTGGGGAGTGGGGACAGGAGCAGGATCACAACTTATACCAGGATTCCTGCTGATTTCCCCAGCATCCCCCAGGTAGCAGATGGGTGGGAATGGACATCCTTCGAAACCAAGAGACAGAGGAGGGAAAGGTCAGAGTGAGTGCAGTAGGGTTAGGAATAGGAGAGCATGGAGGAGAGATGGAGTCCTGATGTGAAAGTCTGGTGGGGCCAGTCTTTTCTAACCTTTTTCATCTCATGGCACATAAACTAACTACTAAAATTCTGTAGCACACCAAAAAATATATTTTTTGCCAATCTGACAAAAAATACGTATAATTTTGATTCATCCACACTGGATGGCTATTGCTGTGTTGGCTGTTGTCATTTTAAAGTTGACAATCTAAGGGAAAAGAGGTCATTGCCCCTGACTAAATAGTCAGGTACTGCATGTTTTAAAATTTTTTGCAGTACACCTTTTGAAAATTGCTGGATGGGGTGAATAGGGAGGGTCTGAACAGCTGGAAGATACCCCCTCCCACCACCAATGCGTAGGGGATGGACTCCGGCAGGTTGTGAGGCCAGAAGTGGAGAGGCAAGGATGGAACTAGAAGAAGGGTGGATGAACATGTTTGGGGTGTCGAACATCAAACTATGGTCATCATGAATCATGGATTTGGCTACTCCCTCTGTTATCACTTATGGATTTGGCTGATTTGCTTTACCCAGCTCAGTTATATGAAGGGTCAACTGCAAACAAAGCAACATGTCCATCCATCCTATACCTAGGAGACGTGAAAGAGTGAAAGAGCTGATTTCTAGTCTCTATGGAACTTGGAGTCTAAGTAGGAAAACTGAGTTGGTGAACACGATAATGAAAGTCTATGTGATAGGAGGTGGGTAAAGGGGGAGAAAATGGGGGAATATCTGTATTAGTGTCAACACTAGATTTTAAAAATATAAAAAAAGAGAACGTTTATATGTGATAAAGGCTGGGAAAGTGTCTTTTAACCATCTATTTTACTGTCTTTGATCATTTCTGTTCTTATCTGGCTGAGATAACTAGTTAAGTAGTGGAACCAATGGTCTCATGCCTTTTCAGGCTGTAAAAAATGCAGCATTAGGGGCATGAGCTCAGAAATTGGTGAGCCCAGTCTCAATCCTGGCTTTGTCCCTATCTGGCTTCGCCTTCCTGACTTGGTCTCCACTTCCATCAAATGGGGTGAGGTACACACGTACTTCATAGAGCTTCGTGCAGGTGAGATGGGAGGAAGCAGAAGTGCCTAGCCCATGAGACACTCTCAGTCAGTGTGAGTTACACTAATTATTATATCACAGATTTTACAGGAGACATTAAAGAGATGTATGTTCATTGTTCCCCTGTGCACCTAAGTTCTGTCACACTGCAGTTTTCTCCATCAGTGGGTTGTCAGAGGGCAGTTTTGGGCCATCCCTTCCTCCTCCCACTGCATGCTCTCCCATCTCTCTGGCATTGCCATAATTACTCATTTTTGGGTCTTCTCTTTTTGTTCATCCATCTTTCCTCAGGTCAACAGAGAAACAACGAACCAGGGTCTTTCAGTTAGAAGGAACTTAAAAACCATTTTTTCTACTCTGTCATTTTATAGATGAGGAGACTGAAGTTGAGAGATAGTGACACGTTTGCCCAAGATTGTAGCCCAGTCATCAGTGTGACCCATGCTCTCCTGGGGACCCCACAGAGGTGGTGCCATGATGCAGTCCTGGGCATTCAATACTGTGCTGGTGTGACTGTGTTTGTGGGTTTAATTATTGTTTCTCTCCACAGGGATGCCTTTCTTCTATGGCTCAGGACACTCGAGTTGAACCAAGAGCAAAACTGTCTGGTAGGTATTAGGCTCACTTTTCAAAACGGCAGATGGAATTCATTACAGTTCAGTGATATATTTTCCTTTCTTTCTTCCTACATTTTAATCATTTATTTCTCTCTGAGGGTGGACTTTGAAGGAGACTCTCCTTACCCATATGCTGTTTCCACCCCTCCTTCCCAGTGTGGACCTATACCCCAAGGCCCTGACCTGGGCTGCAGACAAGCATGACAAGTGTCCGCTGCAAGCTGGCCTACTACCTGGAGGACCTGGAGGACATGGACTTGAAGAAGTTCAAGATGCACTTAGAAGACTATCCTCCTCAGAAGGGCTGTATTGCACTCCCTCGGGGCCAAACAGAGAAAGCAGATCCTGTGGATCTAGCTACCCTTATGATTGACTTCAACGGGGAGGAGAAGGCATGGGCCATGGCAGTCTGGATTTTTGCTGCAATCAACAGGAGAGACCTTTATGAGAAAGCCAAGAGGAATGAGCCAGAGTGGGGTGAGTAGAAGGAAGATAGCATCTGCTTTAATTGTAAGATACACATAACATAAAATTTACCATCTTAACCATCTTTAAGTGTATGTTTCAGTAGTGTTCAACACATTCATGTTGCTGTACAGTCAATCGCCAGAATTCTTTTCCATCTTGCAAAATTCTATACCCATTAAATAACAATTCCTCGTTCCCTTCTCTCGGCCCCTGGCACCCACCATCTACTTTTCTGTCTCTATGAATTTGACTCCTCTAGGTACTTCTTATAAGTGGAATCACACAGAACTTGCCTTTTAGTGGTGACTGGCTTATTTCATTTAGCGTAATGGCCTCAAACTTCATCCATGTTGTCACATAAGACAAGATTTCATTCCTTTTTATGGCAGAGTAATATTCCATGGTACGTATATGCCATATTTTGCTTACCTATTCATCCATCAATGGGCATTCAGATTTCTTCTAGCTTTGCATTATTGTGAATAATGCTGCTATGAACATGGGTGTACAGATTTCAATTCTTTGGGTATATACCCAGAAGTGGAATTCAGAATTACTGAATTATATGATAATTCTATGTTTCATTTATTTGAGGAACTGTCATACTCTTTTCCATAGTGCCTGCACCCTTGTACACTCCTCCCACCAACAGTGCATAAAGGTTCTAATTTCTTCACATCATCGCCAACACTTATTCTATGTTTTATTTAATAGTAGCTATCTACCCTAATGGGTGTGAGATGCTATCTCATTTTGGTTTTGGTTTGCGTTTCCCTGTTGACTAGTGATACTGAGTGCCTTTTCATGTGCTTGTTGACCTTTTATCTTGAAAGAAATGTCGATTTAAGCCCTTTTGCCATTTTTAATTGAGTTGTTTGTTTTTTGTTGTTGACTTTATGGAGCTCTTTATATATCCTGGATAGTAAGCCCCTATCAGATATATGATTTGCAAAGATTTTCTCACATGTCATCTATGGGTTGCCTTTTTACTGTTAATGCTATACTTTGATGCATCAAAGTTGGTGTATTTGCTTTTAAATCATTTATTTTTCTTGGCTTCATCTTCTTTCTGCCTCTCATGATAGTGCTATGAGAAGATGGAAGAAAGCAGTTTACTTTTTTCTAAATCCCTTAGAAACCCAAGTCAGGGCTCGAGTACCCCTAGGAAACTTCCCTGGTTAGTTCCACTTTATCCAAATCTCTCCTATGTCTGATACTTCCTCCAGGTCTCCATCAAGCTCCTCAAGTGTCTGCTTGCATAGCCAACAAGCCTCTGGCTCAGGGGCAACCTCTCACCTTACAGAACTAGGCTATATGTGCGGAAAAGCCTCTCTTAAGACCATTACTTTGGGCATGGGAAGGGTAAAATATTCTTTTCCTTCCTGTGGACAGGGTGAGGGTGAGGTTCTTCCCTTTGGTTTGATGTTCTGAGCAAGGGAAGGGCACTAGGAGGGCTCAGAGTAATCTAGAAAATGGCGGGAGGATGACGTTGAGCTAGTGAAAAGGAGATGTAAATGAACCAGCAGATCAGAGGAAGCATGGAAAGGCGTGGCAGCAATGTGGGTGACAAGGAAGAGAAAATGACATGGCACAAGGAGAGGTGCAAAGCAGTGGGTGTTATAAACAAATTGCACATAATAACACAATTATAATTATTTAATGGGCGTAGATTTTTAGTTTTTGCCAGAATTTTGGAAGTGATTTCCCAACAATGTGGAGTGAGCCCATATGAAGTTCTGGTTGCCTGTGGCTGTGTCCACATCAGAACCAATGCCAGGATTCAACGCCAGCTATGTCTGGTTCAAGTCTGGCTCTTAACCACTGCAACATCTTGGCTTCCACATCTGCGTTTTGAGGTAGAAGAATTATTACTAGGGTTAGAACTTCTTTTGGGAGTGGGGTTGGGGGAGTGGCTAGAGTTAGGCTTTAAATAAGAGTTAAGTTGTGGTTTTGGTTTGAGATAATATTTGGATTTTGTTTTGTGATCGGGTTACCAATAGCATTTGCGTTCAGGATAAACAGAGGCCTATTAGGAATCCTTCATGTCCCTCTTGGGTTCCTGCCCACTTAAAGTTATCCATACCATCCATTTCCCCTGGTGTCTTGCTCTTGTTCTACTGTTTCTAGATTTCTCCTAGGAAATGCCTCTTTGAAATGTGTCATTTAGTAACTGTTTAGGTCTGTAATTCTCAACTGTGGATGCAGGTTGAAGCTTTAAAAATATAATGGGCCCAAACCCCACCTCACCTGGGTTGAAAAGAATCATAGGAGTTAAGTCCTGGAATCGGTATTTTTAAAGCTTCATGGGTGAATCTAAAGTCAGCCAGGATTCTGCACCACCAAGTTAGACATAAACCAGGTTGGTAATTCTCCCTCTTGAAGACCCAGAACATGAGTAAGATGAATTCCAGGCACTTGGGGTCAGGGAAGGATGATCCTGCTGGCCCATGGCCATCTTGGGGATACTGGGGAGCATGGAGATGGCTTCAACACCAGAACACCATGGGGGGCGGGGGGTGGTCAGCTGCCAAAGACACAAGAGGAACAGAGAACCCTGCCTGCTGCACGTTTGCCAGGCACTTTCTAGGCCTGGGAGAGAGATTCTGAGACAGGATTCTGTGGGCATGCAATGTTCAGAAGGTGGATCAATGCTATCACTTTGAAATTACGACCACGGAAACACCCCTGACAGGACCTTCGGCTGCACACCTGTCATTTGCAGCTCTGAGCTGTGTTTGGTAGATGTCCAGGCAGATGTGTTTTGGTTTGGCAGATGTCTAGGCAGTTGTCTTTGACTTGTGCTTGGTGTTGGGTCTCAATTACATCACCTTAGTCAGGAGTCCTAGCTTTTGAACCTTTGCATTTTTTTCCTTTTAATTTCAGAGAATGCACATGTTTCTGTGGTATGCCGGGAAGAAAGCCTCGAAGAAGAGTGGATGGGTTTATTGGGGTACCTTTCCAGAATCTCTATTTGTAGAAAAAAGAAAGGTAATCATGGGAGTGGTGACTTCAATTGGGTTTGGAAATGGAGTGTAGTGTGGGAGGCACTGGAAAGCTAGGAAGCTGGTCATCACCTCCTGCTCCTTGGGTGCAAAGGCCAGTCTCAGAAAATCCACTATAGCTGAAGACACGGATACATGTTAACCTGGCTCCTTGCAGTCCCCAAACCAAGGGGCGGCCATTGAGTGTTTCAGATTTTAAAATGCATGGCCAGCAGGGAGTCAAACTGAATAAAAAGTGTTTTTTGGCTGGGGCAGCACAAAGGCACTTTGCTGTTCTTCCGCTCAACTGTGTATAGGAAGATTTTGACATCCCAGATTTATACCCAAGTAGTGGAGAGGAACTGTACCTCTGTTTCTTAGCTCCTGTCACCACCCCCTATGGACCACAGATCTCTGTTGAGAGCTCAACTCAGATGGATGTGCCTGGGCTTCTCCCAGAATCTAACATTCTGTCTCTGCCACAGATTACTGTAAGAAATACAGAAATCACGTAAGAAGCAGATTTCAGTGTATCAAAGACAGGAATGCTCGTCTGGGTGAGAGCGTGAACCTCAACAAACGCTATACCAGGCTGCGTCTTGTCAAAGAACATCAGAGCCAGCAGGAGAGGGAGCACGAACTCCTGGCCATTGGTAGGACCTTGGCCAACCAGCAAGATGGCCCTATGAGTTCCATAAACTTGGAATTGCTGTTTGATCCTGAGGACCAACACAGTGAGCCTGTGCATACGGTGGTGGTCCAGGGATTGGCAGGCATTGGGAAAACAATACTGGCCAGGAAGATCATGTTGGACTGGGCATCAGAGAAACTTTACCAGGACAAGTTTGACTATTTGTTCTACATCCACTGTCGGGAGGTGAGCCTGGGGACACGGAGGAGCCTGCGGGACCTGATGGTCAGCTGCTGCCCTAACCCAAACCCACCCATAGACAAGATTGTGAAGAAGCCTTCCAGGATCCTCTTCCTCATGGATGGCTTTGATGAGCTGCAAGGAACCTTTGATGAGCAGACAGAGGAGCTGTGCACAGACTGGCAGAAGGTGGAGCGGGGAGACATTCTCCTGAGCAGCCTCATCAGAAAGAGGCTGCTTCCTGAGGCCTCACTGATCATCACCACGAGGCCTGTGGCCCTGGAGAAACTACACCACTTGCTGGACCGTCCGCGGCACCTGGAGATCCTGGGTTTCTCAGAGGCCAAGAAGAAGGAGTATTTCTTTAAGTATTTCTCAGATGAGCAGCAAGCCCAGGAAGCCTTCAGGTTGATTCAGGAGAACGAGGTCCTCTTCACTATGTGCTTTATCCCCCTGGTCTGCTGGATCGTGTGCACTGGGCTGAAGCAGCAGATGGACAGTGGCAAGAGCCTTGCTCAGACCTCTAAGACCACCACTGCTGTGTACATCTTCTTCCTCTCCAGTTTGTTGCAGTCTCGAGTAGGGAACCAGAAGCATCATGTTTCTGCCAACCTTCGGGGTCTCTGCTCATTGGCCACAGATGGAATCTGGAACCAGAAAATCCTGTTTGAGGAGAGTGACCTCAGGAACCATGGCCTGCAGAAGGCGGATATGTCTGCTTTCCTGAGGGTGAACCTATTCAAAAAGGAAGTGGAATGTGAGAAATTCTACAGCTTCATCCACATGACTTTCCAGGAGTTCTTTGCTGCCATGTACTACTTGCTGGAAGAGGAGGAACAGCAGGTGCCAAAGAACATGCTACAGAGTCGTTCGGAGCTCCCCAGCCGAGACGTGACAGTTCTTCTTGAAAACTATGGAAAATTTGAAAAGGGGTATCTGATTTTTGTTGTCCGTTTCCTCTTTGGCCTTATCAACCAGGAGAGGACTTCCTACTTGGAGAAAAAACTGAGTTGTAAGATCTCTCAGCAAATCAGGCTGGAGCTGCTGAAGTGGATCGAAGCAAAAGCCAAGGCCAATACCCTGCAGATGCAGCCCAGCCAGCTGGAGCTGTTCTACTGCTTGTATGAGATGCAGGAGGAGGGCTTTGTGCAAAGGGCCATGGACTACTTCCCCAAAATTCAGATCAATCTCTCCACCAGGATGGACCATGTGGTTTCCTCTTTCTGTATCAAGAACTGCCACAATGTGCAGTCCCTTTCCCTGAGGCTGCTCCACAACTCCCCTAAGGAGGAAGAAGAGGAGGAGGAGGAGGAGGAGGGAGCCCCACACTCCCACGTGGACCAGGGTGTTGTCCCAGGTCCTCACACGGCCTCTTCTCATCGGTAAGGCAAGTGGTAGAACACGCCCTCTGCTTTTTAGCCACTTTTTCTTTGCTCTTGCTCCCTCTCCCCTCTTCTCAACTGACTTTCAAATGCAGTTGCCCCAACGCTGCAATGCAACCACCGCCATTTCTAGCAGAGCCCTTCACTGGCAGAGACCGGCCAGCAGAAGAAGGGTAGCTGGACAAGTGGAGTGAGAAAAAACCAATGAAATGATGGAGGCCTGAGTGAAAGGGTTTGTAAGTTCAAATTGCTTGTCATCCATTTGGGTCCCCAGTTCATAATAGCCAGTCAATACCCAAGGGGCAGAACAAGCCTAGTGACTCCATCCCAGGATCGCGAGGACAGAGGGCCCTTAACACCGAGAGCTGTGTGGAGGTTTCTCAGCGAGGCCTGAGCCGGCCTGGACAGAGTGGTGGGTGCGGTGAGCGGAGGAGCGAGGAAAGGGATTTGGGCAGTGGGGTGTGATAGGAGCAAGATATGAATGTGGTCTGAGGAAGAGTGTGTGTAGGAGGCAATGGGGAGGGGCATGGCTTCATTGGAATAAACATGATAAAGGAAAAGTGAGGAAAATAGGGCCACACTGTGCTTGCAACCAGGCTGCACCACCTTCACAGTCTGTTTACCCACTTGCTGGGGGGTTGAAGCCTGTGGCCGTATTGATACAGTGAAGCAGTTATTACCTGATTTCTGAAGTCCTTGCACGGAACTGCCAGAGGCACAGTAGCTGTGGGAAGGAGGCCACTCTGAATGCATGGACTTTTACCTCTGTAGAAGACATGAGACATTGGATAAATTAAGGAGAAAGGCAGCTGGACCCTTCCATCGGCAGCAATGAATTTTCAACTTCTTTTCTCTGCCTCTCCAGCACCTTTATTGTGTGGTCATCAAGGACCACCCTCTGGAGCTTCAGTGGTGGCTAAGACCAAGGTTCTGCTCCCAGACACTTAAGGTTCAGTTGTGGGGACAGCTGGGAAATGCAAACAGATTGAGGAAGATGGGCTCTGGAAAGAACACTTGCAGAATGCACCTGAGGCACCCAGAGGGGGAACCCCCAACCTGCCCAATCTTGAAGGATGGGGCATGGAAGAGCCGAATGCGGCAGGGGCAACTCAGACAAAGGAGCACAGGCTCAGAGGGTGGGAGGTGGGAAAGTGGGATATGTCCATGGTGGCAAATAGTTAAAATAGCTAGAAAGAAGATGGGGGAGGGTGGAGAGAGAGGGAGTGAGAGAAGGAGGCAGACCAGCTCGTTAGAGCCCTAAAAAAAGTAAAGTTGAGAAAATGAGAGACCTGAGCAAGATCCCACAGCTGTGAGGAAGGCTCACAGAGACTCTGAAACTCCTGATGAAAAGCCTGGTGCAGTCTCTCCAGATCCCAGCTCCCTTCTTCTGAGGGCAGGTGCTTACTTTGTGTGTTCTAGAACCTTCTCGGGACCAGCGGCAGGGGCACCCACCCAGTGCCAGTTAGAAGTGCAGGCCCAACCCTAGACCTATGGAGCCAGAATCTGCATTTGAACAAGAGCTGCATGTTGGAATCACCTGGAACTCTTAGAAACATCAGTGCCTGGTCCTACCACCAAGAGTGTGATGTTAGTCCCAGGGTGTAGCCTGGCCTAGGGACTTTGGAGAGCACTGCTGATGCCATTGTGCAGCCAGGGTGAAAACTGGTCTCTGTGCCACTTGGCAGAGTGACAGCTGACCAATGAGGGAGGGAGGAGGGCACTGAGGGAGAGGCCAGAGGGAGTTTGCAGTCAGACAAGGTCATAGGCTCACACTGTTCACTATACTGTGTACAGAGCAGTCTTACCAAGGCTTCCTGCCTTCTTCACTCTTTGGTGGGCAACCTTTGGTTTGGTGATCCATTTCTTAACCCTGGGAGGCCATTGTCTGGATGGCTGCCGGCCACTCCTGCCCTGTAGCTTGGTGCTGTTCTTACTGATTTTCTTCTTGCCTCATTTCTTCCTTCCAATGTCTAGGTTGGTGAACTACTATCTCACATCCAGCATCTGCCGGAGCCTCTTCTCTGTCCTGGGTACTAACCGGAACCTCACTGAATTGAACCTCAGTGACAATCCTCTGGGGGATGAAGGGATGAAGGTGTTATGTGAAGTGCTCCAGAATCCTGGATGTAACGTTCAAAGATTGTGGTAAGAATCTCTGTGGGGGGTGTGTGTGTGTGTGTGTGTGTGTGTGTGCACGTGTGTATGTGAGAGAGAGAGAGAGAGAGAGAGAAGGAAGGAAGGAAGGAAGGAAGGAAGGAAGGAAGGAAGGAAGGAAGGAAGGAAGGAAGGAAGGAAGGAAGGAAGGAAGGAAGGAAGGAAGGAAGGAAGGAAGGAAGGAAGGAAGGAAGGAAGGAAGGAAGGAAGGAAGGAAGGAAGGAAGGAAGGAAGGAAGGAAGGAAGGAAGGAAGGAAGGAAGGAAGGAAGGAAGGAAGGAAGGAAGGAAGGAAGGAAGGAAGGAAGGAAGGAAGGAAGGAAGGAAGGAAGGAAGGAAGGAAGGAAGGAAGGAAGGAAGGAAGGAAGGAAGGAAGGAAGGAAGGAAGGAAGGAAGGAAGGAAGGAAGGAAGGAAGGAAGGAAGGAAGGAAGGAAGGAAGGAAGGAAGGAAGGAAGGAAGGAAGGAAGGAAGGAAGGAAGGAAGGAAGGAAGGAAGGAAGGAAGGAAGGAAGGAAGGAAGGAAGGAAGGAAGGAAGGAAGGAAGGAAGGAAGGAAAGAGGGATATTGAGAGAACTGGAAGAAGGTCTTAGGGACCAGATAAATGGTTTATTAGTTTCTTAGGGCTGTCATAGCAATGTACCACAGACTGAAAGACTTATAAAACAGAAATTTATTTTTTCACGTCCTGAAGGCTGGAAGTTAAGATAAAGGTCTGGGCTGGGCTGGTTTCTACTGAGGCCCATCTCCCTGGGTGCAGATGGTGCCTTCTCTCCATGCGCTCACATGGTCTCTCTCTGCATGTCTGATCTTCGCTGCTTACAAGGATGCCAGTCATGTTGGATTAGGGCCTGCTCTAATGACCTCATTTTAACTTAATGACCTCTTTAAAAAGCTCATCTCCAAATCCAGTCACATTCTGAGTTCCTAGCAGTTAAACCTTCAATATACGATTTTTTTTGTGGGGAGCACAATTCAGCCCATGGCAAGTGAGAAGGCAGAATGGATCAGAGTCCCGTTGTTTGGGAAGTATTGACTAGAGAAGGATGAGGGGAACTGAAAACACGTCATTTGCTGGTGGTGTGACAAAAATTTCCCATTTCCATTATCTTCCATTTCCTTATTGGCCATGCTCGTAGATGGGAATTTGAGAGTTTCATCACATACAATGACGGCTACTGGGCTGGAACCCATCAAGACATTTTGTATAGATTGAATTGTCACAGGGAATCTCCAGTAACTTAATTCTAATGTGCTGGCGTTGAGCCCACACACAAGTCAGACTTGTGTGCCCTGAACTGAGCACATGGTGTCTGGGCCATCACAGCATCCTGTTCCATAGCACAGCCTCATTGTTGACAAGCCCGCCACTCTAGGATGCCTTTTCCCTCTGTCTCTCGCTCATCATCCCCACCCCACCCCCAGTCTTACCAGTTTTACCTACTTTACAGGCCATTTCCCACGTTCCTCATCCTCACTCCACCAGCCCAGGTCCAACAACCACAATCACTTGTCTGGATAGTGCAATGGCACCATCACCTTCCAAGGGCAGGGTTTGTGTTTGTCTTGCCATTGTCACTACAATGCCTGAAGAAGTGTCTTAACACACATTACTGCTCAAAAATACACACCGAAGCCTGGCTGGTGTGGCTCAGTGGTTGAGCATTGATCTATGATCCTGGAGATCTCGGTTTGGTTCCCTGTCAGGGCACATGCCCGGGTTGCGGGCTCGATCCTTGGTAGGGGTAGTGCAGAAGGCAGTCCACCAATGACTCTCTCTCATCACTGATGCTTCTATCTCTCTCTCTTCCTCTCCCTTCCTCTCTCTGAAATCAATGGAGATATATTAAAACACACACACACACACACACACTAAGGGAATACTGAGGCCATTTGTTCTCCCTGCATCCAATGCAGAGGTCCATGCAGAAGTCAGAGGGTTATTTAAAAAATTCTACCTTAATCATGACATTCCACTTGCTTAAGAGCTAATTCTTTGCTTTTTTTTTTTTTTAAAAAAAACTGGAGTACAGTCTTTTAAAATTGATTTTATTGGGATAACATTGGTTAATAAAATTAAGTTTCAGGCGTACAATTCTACAACACATCATCTGTATATATTATCGTGTGTTCACCACCCCGAGTCAAGTCTCCTTTCATCACCATTATCCCCCTACACCCTCTTCTACCTCCTTCAACCCCCTTTCCCTCTGGTAATAACTATACTGTTGTCTGTGTCTATGTTTTGTGGTTTTTTACTTTATCCCTTCACCTTTTTCACCAGCCCTGCAATCCCCCTCTCCTCTCATAGCTGTCAGTCTGTTCTCTTTCTATGAGTCTGTTTCTATTTGTTTGTTAGTTTATTTGTTTATTAGATTCCACATATGGATGAAATCTTATGGTACTTGCCTTTCTCTGACTGGCTTATTTCACTTAGTGTAATAATCCCCAGGTCCATTCATGCTGTCACAAATGGCATGATTTCCTTCTTTTTTTATGGCCGAGTAGTATTCCATTGTGTAAATGCACCACAACTTTTTTATCCATTCATCTACTGATGGACATTTGGTCTGTTTCCAAATTTTGGCTATTGTAAATAGAGCTGCGATGAATGTAGGGGTGCATCTCTTTGCTCTTTTTACAAATTACAAATCCTTTGTAATTTTTGCCTTGAAGGTTCCTTCTTGACTTGAAGGCTCTGGCTGGGTTTGGCACTTCAGCTGCCTCTCTGCCCCCATCCCACACTACTATCCTCATTACCCCTGTGATTCCAGGGAGTGAGATATAAACAGGGAGACATGGGTGATTATGAGATGTTTTGTAGATAAATACAGATTTAGTTGTCCATTTGTTTTTAGTTGGTGTGAAGATGGGGACAGAAAGAAAGGTGGTCCAAAAGCTCTAGGACATCTGAACTATTGGCCTGGAAAGAAACTAGGATATTATTCTTTTTCCTAAGACAGGGACAAATCATTGTTGCTGTTGGTAATGGTGTGTGTGTGTGTGTGTGTGTGTGTGTGTGTGTGTGTGTGTGTGTGTAAAACAAATCAAGAATCAGAGCTGCTTGCTCCTTCAGTGTGGATAGGGGTCTGGGATTAAACCAGTAAGCAGAATAGCAGGGATGGGGCTGGCAAAGAGAAGCTCAGCATCTGTCCAAGGGAGTTTGAACTGTTAGGAACATGTGGTAAAGAAACGGAACCCACAGCTTCACTACCCCTTTTATTTACAGAACAGGAACATGCCATTTATATATTTGAGAGTTGACCATTGTTTACTAACGGAGTTCACTGTTTGATGCTTAGCAGTTGTGGTCTCATGCTGAGAGCTAGTCAGCCTGAGAGCCAACTTCCCTATATGTCTTGGGCTGTATTCAGGATACTTTCACAAAAACTTTATTATGAGTTTCCCTTTGTAACACAAGTGCCCCTGTTTGGGCTAAAAACATGCACAGACCAGAAGGCAATAGGAGAGGCAGCTGTGTTCTGACACTTTCTGCTTTTGTGCTTGGCATCAAGGTTGAGGCGGTGTTGCCTTTCCCATCAGTGCTGCTTCCACATCTCCTCTGTCCTGAGCAGCTCCCATATGCTGGTGGAACTGGATCTGAGCCACAACGCTCTGGCAGACTGTGGAGTCAAACTCATGTGTGTGGGAATGAGGCATGCATTCTGCAGTCTAAAGAAGCTGTGGTGAGTGTGAATTCATTTCCTTCAGGGAGCATGAGCAGTGGCTCAATGAGCTCCCGCAGACTGGAGTGTTAGTGTGAGCATGGCCTTGGCTGCTCAGACGTTCCCCGTGTTACCTCCAGGTATTGATCAGTAATTGCATTAGTTAGCGTTTGCTGTGGGAAAAGCCACATACTGAGCACTGGAGGGGAAACTCAGTCAAAGAAATTACGTTGCCTTTAAGATGTTCACAACCAGTGTAATGCAGTGCTCTAGAAGAGTCTTGGGACTTTATGACAGGCCCTTCGTCTCTATATTGATTAGGAAAAATGGGGCTAAAGCATTGCTGACACTTGAGATTCTGTGCAGCCCTTCACTGAATGCTTCTGGGACACTTGAATTTTGAAGGAGAAAAGAAAACACTTGATAATGGTAGGGTTGATTTACACCTATTAGGATGGTTATTATAAAGCAATACAAAACAGAAAACATCAAGTGTTTGTGAGAATGTGGAGAAATTGGAAACCTCACACATTGCTGGTGGGAGTGTTAAATGGTGCAGCTGTTGTGGAAAACAGTGTGTGAGTTCCTAAAAAAATTAAACACAGAATTGCCATAAGATTGATCAATTTCATGTCTGGGGATATATCCCAAAGAGTTGAAAGGAGGCACTCAAACATGTATTTGTAGACCCATGTCCGCAGCAGCATTATTCACAATAGCCCCAAGGGAGAAGCAACCCAAGTGTCCATCAATGGATAAATAGATTTTTTAAATGTGGCATGTACACAAATACAGCCTTAAAAGGAATTTTGACACATGCTGCAACATGGGTGAACCTTGAGGACATTATAGTAAGTAAAATAAGCCAAACATAAAGGTCAAATTCTTTATGATTCTTTTATGTAAATGAGGTCCCTAGAGTGGTCAAAGTCATAGAGACAGAAAGTAGAAGGTGGTTGCCAGGGACTGGGGGAGGAAAATTGGGAATTATTGTTTAATGGGGACAGAGTTTTAGTTTGGGATGATGAAGAGGTTCTGGAGGTGGAGAGTGGTGATGGTTGCGCAACAGTGTGAATGCACTTAATGCCGCTGAACTGCACACTTAAAAATGGTTACAATGGTAAATTGTATGTTGTGTATATTCAATACAATAATAAATATGTGGAGCTGGGAAGATGTAGTATCGGCAGACTTAGAAGGTGTTTACTTGCTATTACACAAACAGAAAAGGAAATAAAAAGTTAATACAGAGCTTGGATGCACTCTTTCCATGTGTGGATTGGACTAGAGGCAGTGATAGGACAAGTGCTTCCTTGATTCACAGCAGAGAGGATGAGAGGTGTGTTCACATTCTGCCATCTCTGTGGAAGGTTGGTCAACTGCTGTCTCACACTGGCATGTTGTGCGGATATTGCATCTGTCCTGAGCACCAGCCAGTCCCTGACCAGACTCTACTTGGGAGAAAATGCCCTGGGAGACTCAGGAGTTGGAATTTTATGTGAAAAAGCAAAGCATCCACGATGTAAGCTGCAGAAACTGGGGTAAGTGTTCATGGTATCTCAGCAGAAAAGCAACCTCTTTTTAAGGATGCATTATTGGGAAAATGTGGGTTACTGAGATGGAGTGAGGGTGGAGAACAAAGGAGACAATTTCTGAAGGTCTTTGAAAGTACTACCTACTGCTAGTAAGGTATGTAAGAGTTGGAGACTCTCAGAGTCAAAAAACCCAGAGATTGTGCCCCTCAATTCTCCACTTGCTTCTACGACACTAATAAGGGTAGTCACCTGTTTTATGTGTGAACACTTCCAAGCAAATAGGTCATTGCTACACAATGTGGCCACTGCAGTAAGAGAGAGTTGTTATCCCGACAGGGTACCTTCTTTGATTTATGTGCCTTCGTTCTGCTCCCAAGAGATCTGCTGAGGGGTGTTAATCTCAATTCCTGGAGAAAACACTCATCCTCTAGATATTTTCATCTTTTGCCTGAATGTCTCTAAGTTCTCAATTAGGACATGGCTTAACACCATCACCCATGTAGTCATGTGGTTCTAGGTAAGGGCTGGCCTGCTAATGTTCCCATTTGTAGTGCAGTGCCCAAACCTGAACCTGATCCTCCTAAAAATGTGTGGTGGAACTTTCATCTTCCGCGGCAGGGCGCTGTACTGTCACTGGTGGAGTCTGTGATTTGTTTGTGTTTTTGGCAGTCACATCAGATCATGAGTTTGTTACCTGCGAGCCGCCCAAGTTGGAGGAGACCCTCCTCTCCATGGCTCTTGTCACACTTGTGAGAAAGAATTCAGACCAGTGACAGAAAGCAGTATTAAAGCAAAGCAAGCAACTTTACTAAGAATACACTTAGCTTAAAGCACAAGTGGGCAACTCAGCTAGTCTGAGCACCCCATCTGGGGGTTTAAGGGTTTTATACTTTTTCCCCCTGTAGGTTTTAAGGTTCCCCTGCTGGGTAGAACAGATTTCAAAGTCCCCCTTTTACATTGTTGCAGCTTTTTCCAGAATTTATGAGAACATCTGGTAATATTATCTTGGCAAGTCTCAAGACTGCTGACTTCTTTGTTCTGTGGGTGAGGTAAACTCCCCCTCTTCTTCTCCTTCTGCTCTAGTAGCTATCTATCCCACCTAAGTTCAGGTTGGAATTTTGCAGTTAATAATAAGAATTCTAGAGTGTTTTCTAACATCAACAACCAATTCTCTATAGATACCAACTGGGTGTCTTACAAGTCAATTCAATTTGACACCAACTACCCAGAATCAGCACAGATCTTACAGGTTAAAGGCTTAGTCCTACAAGACCACCCTCTCCCCACCAATGTCAGATGCTGGTTGCAAATGGTTGGTTCCTCAGGTTACTCACACTTCTTTCTGACTTGGCTACCAATTCGGGGTTTCCATGACACTCTCCTCAGGTTTAAAAATTTGCTAGAATGGCTCATAGCAATCAGAGCAACCATTATTATGTTTATGCTTATTATAAAGTATATTATAAAGAATACACATCACCAGATGAAGAGACACATAGGATGAGATCCAGAGGGTACAGAGTGCAAGCTTCTATCCCCATGGAGCTGGGGTGCTCCAACCTGCCAGCATGCAGATGTATTCACCAACCTAGAAGGTCTCCAATTTGTTCTAGAGATTTTATAAAGCTTAATCTCCAGTCTTCCTTCTAGCTCCTTTCTTGAGGTTGGTGGGTGGGGCTGAATGTTTCAATCCTCTAATCACTTGAACTCTCTGGTGACCTGCCCCATCCTGAGGCTATCTAGGGGCCATTTAAGTCACCTTATTAGCATAAACTCTGCTGTGAGCAAAAGGGGCTCATTCGAATAGAAAAAAAAATGCTCCTATTACTCAGGAAATTCTGAGAGTTTTAGGAGCTCTGAGCCTCCATTTACTCTACTTACATTATTTTTCTTCCCTAACAGTTTGGCTTTTGCCACTGTTGATTTGTTCAACACACATGATCTAGGCACTCTTAGATCTTTGCTGTGATGTCAGTAATGGTAAGTGAAACAGACCAACCACCTTTCACATTCTTATAGAGGCTTCATTATCTCCTCCCTGAAGTCCTTTTTGGGGCACCACTCAGATTTTCCTGTTAATTTTATAGCTTCCTCTTCTCTGCGTCCTGAACTGACTTCTCTTCTTGTAGTTGGGAAATTTCATCATGCTTTTCTTTTTTACTAAATGTTTCTATACTCCCTGGGGACTCTTTATATACCTCTAAAAAACCATCTGTCTACAGATGGCTCCCAAAGCTGGTCTTAAACCCAGATATTGCTCATGAGCATTTTTCTTTCTTAATGGACTTTTATTGTTTAGAGCAGTTTTAGATTCACAGCAAAATTGAGAGTACATGTCATGAGCAAGGGAACATCCCTGAAAGGAGTCTTTCATACACATTTGTGTCTTTCCACAATGCAAGATTTATTAGAGGAGACCTCCCCAATAAGCCAATAGAGTCTCAAGAAGATTATATACAGAGAGGGGGAGCTTACTCTATAGAGCAAGCATCTGTTGTGAAGTTCCAGTCACAGGAGGCTACAGTGATGGCATGCATCTGGCGGAATGGAAGTCCAACAGGTCTCTGAGCACGGCCCATGGTACAGCTGAGCTCAAGCATTGGGTGGTGAGAGCTTTGATTCTTATAGCCCACAAGGAATGGAGGTCCCACTTATATCAGTGTCCAAATGGAGTGGTTTTGGGCATTCTGGGGTCCTCCTAAGGGCATTGCCATTACACCCCATTACCTCAGTCTTGACATAGCATTTGACATAACAGTCATGGCTGACAGTGATTCCGTATTTGATTGTCAAATGAGTCCAAAAAGTCTGTTCTGCTCTTGTTCTATACGTGAAGGCACAGAGATTTCCCACCTACCCTATGCCCCCAGATACACATAGTCTAGGCCACTATCAACATCCCTCACCAGGTGGTACATTGACACATCATTATCACTCAGAGTCCATAGGTTACATTACAGTTCCCTGTTGGTGTTCTACTATTTGAACAAATGTGTAATGACATGTATCTACAGTATCATACAGAGTGCTTTCAGTGCCCCCCAATCCTGTGCTTGGCCTATTCTTTCCTCTCTTCCCCTAATCCCTGGCAACCACTGATTGTTTTACTGTTTTGTAAAAAGTTTTGTCTTTTCTAGAATGTCATATTGTTGAAGTCATACAATATGTAGCCTTTTCAGATTGGTTTCTTTTACTTAGTAGTATTAGTAATATGTATTTAAGTTTCTTTCATGTCTTTTCATGACTTAATAGCTCATTTCTTTTAACATTCCATTGTTTGGATGTAGCAGAGTTTATCCATTCACCTACTGAAGGACACTTTTGTAGCTTCCAAATTTTAAATAAAAGTGCTAGAAATATCTGTGCACAGATTTTTGTGTGGACATACATTTTTTACTTCTTTGGATAAATACTGAGTGATATTGCTGGATAATATGGTAAAAGTATGTTTAGTTTTTTAAGAAACCATAAAACTGTCTTCAAAGTGGCTGTGCCATTTTTCATTTCCACCAGCAATGGATGAGAGCTCCTGTGGCCCACATCCTCACCAGCATTTGGTATTTTGGTGCTTCAGCTATTGGCCATTCTAATAGGTCTGTACTGGTATCTTGTTGTTTTATTTTGCATTTCCTTTATTACGTATAATATGGGGCATCTTTACAGATGCTTATTTGCCACCTGTATATATCTCCTTTGGTGAGGTGTCTGTTAAGGTATTTGGGCCATTTTTAGTCAGGTTGTTTGTTTTCTTGTTTGGTTTTAAAACTTTTTGTATATTTTGCATAATAATCTCTTATTAAATATGTCTTTGTAAATATTTTCTCCCCATGTGACTTGTCTTTTCATTCCCTTGACAGTATCTTTCATAAAGAAGAAAATGTTAATTTTAATAAAGTTAACTTATCAATTATTTCTTTCCTGGATCATGCCTTTGGTATTGTATGTAAAACGTCATCACCAAACCCAAGGTTCTCTAGATTTACTCTTTTATTATCTTTTATGAATTTTATATTTAAGTCTGTTGGCTGTAGGTTTGTCATAGATGGCCTTTGTTACATTGAGGTATGATCCCTCTGTTCCCACTTTGCTGAGAGTTTTTATCAAAAATGGGTGTTGGATTTTATCGAATGCTTTTTCCGCGACTACTGATATGATCATGTGATTTTTGTCTTTCAATTTGTTTATGTGATGTATCACATTTATTGATTTGCGAATAGTGTACCAGCCTTGCATCCTTGGAATAAATCCCACTTGGTCATGGTGTATCAACTTTTTAATATGTTGCTGGATCCCATTTGCTAATATTTTGTTGAAGATTTTAGTATCTATGCTCATCAGGGATATTGGCCTGTAATTCTCTTTCTTTGTATTGTCTTTATCTTGTTTCAGAATTAGGCTAATGCTGGCCTCGTAAAAAGAGCTTGGAGGTTTTCTTTCCTCTTGGATTTTTTGGAATAGTTTGAGGAAGATAGGTGTTAGTTCTTTGAATGTTTGGTAAAACTCCCCTGTGAAGCCATCCATACCAGGGCTTTTGTGTACTGGGAGTTTTTTGATTACTGATTCAACATCATCAGTTGTTACCTGCCTATTTAGGTTTTCTGATTCTTCCCGATTCAGTTTTGGAAGATTGCATTTTTCTAGGATTTTGTCCATTTTATCCACATTGTCCACCTTGTTGGCATATAGTTGTTCATAGTATTTTTTACAATCCTTTGTATTTTTGTGGTGTCAGTTGTTACTTTACCTGTTTAATTTCTGATTTTATTTGGGTCCTTTCTCTTTGTTTCTTGATGAGTCTGGCTAAAGATTCATCAATCTTGTTTATTTTTTCAAAGAACCTGCTCTTGGTTTCATTGATCTTTTGTACTGTTTTTTAGTCTCTATGTCATTTATTTCTGCCCTGATCTTTATTATTTCCTTCCTTCTACTTACTCTGGGCTTTTCTTATTGTTCTCTTTCTAATTCTTTAAGTTGTAGGGTTAGTTTATTAAAACTTTTCTTGTGAG